AAGGAGGCTACAGATGCATTGTCACCTCGAAGAAATGAGATAGAATGCCTCACAGCCTGTAATTCTACTGGCTCTTCAGACCGGGAAACAGCAGTACAAATACTAGATACTTTTTTATATAGAATAACCGTAACAAAAGAGAGTCCGTCCACCTGGTGGTGGAAAGTGGTCATATCCAAGATTTGGAATCAAAATTCAACTGCGTTGTCACCCCTAAGGATTAAGATGGACTGCCTTTTATCTAGTAAAATCAGTCTCAGGATCTCAACACTTGCCATACAAAACACAGCGGCAAATAAATAAGAAGGCGGTGCCCACTCAGATGGGCTTCTGGGCAGAAAACGATTCCTATCAACTAGTTTTTTTTTTTATTTATTTATTCATACAAAGGTAAGTACATTATTTTTACTATTCTCTCGCCAAAACTGCAATTAGTTAGTACACACTCTTAAAACTTTATATTATTATGCACCATCACCTATACAAATACAATTAATTACAAAAAACCAAAAAGAAAATATAAGATAGTTATATCAAAGTTACCTACTACAATTTCATAATATTTAGAAATTATTAAACTTAAAAAATAAACAACAAAAGCAATAAACAAATCAAAGAAGATAATTGATAGAATCAGGCGTTACTTTGCGGAAATTCATTATAATAAAGATTTTGCAACCATCCGCTTAATTAAGCGGATGGTTGCGAATTAAATTTTAATATCTTTATCAAATCAAATAAATCAAACATAAAAAGCGATTAACAAAAGTATGCAACAATATGTCATGTGTTATAGCTCTGTTAATAATGTCCTTTTCAGAAAGGATTTTAATAAGTTTTTGTTTAATTTTTTTTTATTTTATTGGAGGCGTTTCTCTTAAAGAGTACGAACGTGTTATGCCAACATTCCTTAAACTTCTGCATGTGGTGGAGCCATGCGGCAGATATATTAAGGTGGCATCACAAATGGGTCGGCTCTAATGGGGAAGTTCACGCACTCACAGAATATTACTGTAAAATAACAGCTTGATGCTGCTTTGATTCGTGTGGTGCGTGCAGCTCGGAGCTTCTTTATAGGATCAGGTGGACTGTGTGCTCGTTTGTCACCCTTCACTAAAAAAAAAAACAAATTGCGCAATTCGCTTTTCTAAAGCCCTCTTACCGTAAATATATAACATAATAAAAATATTTAACATGTTATATAGTATTTAGATAACCCACATGTTCTATGCTATGTGGGTAACACATTTTTAAATAAATAATTTAAAATATAATAATGCGTTTAAAATATTTACAATGATAATAAAATCAGCAAAAAATAGCACTATAAAGTCCTCAAGCCATCTGTGACGCGCACACACTCGTGCACGCATCACAGCTGCCCTTCACTCTCAAAGTTCGTTTTGGTAACAATATGACATGACCGAAGAAAGACCAGATGCAGGACCAACGGCTTTACATACTTTCCAAGGCACGAGGATTTGAAGCTTAGTGCATACATTCTCAAGTTTATAAATTCACATTCATTTTTAGCATCAGGAGCTCCTTTATGTGATCTAAAACAATTCACTTTATTGCGATAAATCTTATTTAGGATATAGTAGTTAAATTATAGTCCTACTATATATGTATTTGTATGTATATAATGTTGTCCTTCTTATATGTTCTATTAAATATAAAAACACCAATTTTATTAACAGGGGAAGCTCGGAGATTTTTAAAGAACGTACAGCGTCTGAACAAAGTTCACTTTAAAAAGTTAAAGATCTGCGGAATATTCTCCATTGACGCTACGTTGCCGTTGCGTTTGGGACGTCTCATCGCTGATTACACTGTAATATTGCTGCAGTTTGCCTTTTTAAGAAATTAGTGTAGTTATAACTATAACTCAAATTCTATTCAATTAGAAACTTCACTTATAACTTATATATTAAAAAAACATTATATAAAGATTATATTCTGGTAAATAACGTGTTTAATGTTTATGACTAAGTTACGAGCACCAACTATTGTTATTGAATGAAATAAGAATTGTTTAAAGGACTGTATACTTTGGCCATTTTGTAATCATGTGTGATACGCGATGCTATTCAGAAAATAAATAGTACTTAATCAAATGTAAATGTATGAAATTAACGAAGTTAAAATGATAAAAAATGAGATGAAAAATTATGGACAAATAAATAAGAGAAGAGTATTTAAAATATAAATGCCTATACAATACTAGATGTTCGCAAATTTGAACATATTATGTTTTACCTACTTACGTCAAATATGTATGTTGTATGTATGCATAATACATCATACCAAATTTACTGTGACCACGATATTATTATGGGGCAGGGGGATCCGGCCACCCAACCTACCCATAGATTGTACTTATCTTAATTTATTTAATTTATACCTTTAGATCGAGTTTTTCCATCAAGCTCGAAATTACGTAGGCTCGAAAAAAGGGTTACCAACTTCCGAAAAATTCTATAGTTCAACTATAGTTAACAGCGCTGTCTATTGTCCAATTTGAAAACTAATTGAGTTCACTTTATTAACCACGTGGTGGCCAGTTTCAGTCACCTGTAGTGAAATATGGACCTTCTCTCTTTTTATTGCATTGTGGCATAATTAAATTATAATTCTTTATAAAATTGCAACAGCCACAAACAGTGAATCAGTAACTACGTAATCACATATAAATGAAATAAACAATACACCACGTGTTTAAAAAAGGTGAACTCAATTAGTTGTCAAATTGGACAATAGACAGCTGACAACTATAGTTTTAATTTTTCGGAAGTTGGTAACCCTTTTTTCGAGTCTACAAAATTTCGAGCTTCTCTTTCTCGTTCTCTTTGTCTCTTTTTAAAAAACGTTATCACTTACACTAGGATTCTCTCCTGTATTATGGGGGCAGTTTACAAACATAAATTGCATAAGGACAAACATCCAGTCCCGGAACAACTATTTGTAGACCATACAAATACTTGTTCCGTGCGGGATTCGAACCCGCGACCCCAGCGCAGCCACTCATTGTTAGGCCACTGCGGCATGGAGTCTTCTACATAGCTTGATGGAAAAACTGGCTCTTAGTTTTAAGAGATTATTTTTATAATTATATATGTATAAAAACAATATATTCTATTTGTTTGTGTGTTTAGTTAGGAATAAGGCAGTATAATTAAAGTCTTAAACTGAGCAACACGTCTCCTTTTTATTGAACATCGTCCAATATTACAAACCGGTTCTGGTACTAATTGTTCCACAGTGAAGTTTATAGAACGCCAGTATAATTAGAGGCTATGAGGAATTCTATTTAAGTTCCTAGAGGAGGCAACGCATCTGTAACTGTTTTTGTTTAAAGTTGGATGCAAGTTTTCATAGACAGCGGTAGCCACTTATTATCATGTGAACGGCAAGTTTTTTTTTTATAGAACAGGGGGCAAACGAGCATGCGGCTCACCTGATGTTAAGTGACTACCGCCGCCCATGATCATCTTCATGCAAGCAAGCAAGTTCTTTTGTCGAATCAATTTCTTAGCAAATTATACGTGGTAGAGACATATTGCATATATTTTATGGTTGTATTGCGAAGGGGTCGGCTTGACCGGGGTAGGACCATGCTGTCATAGATTGCCAGCGTAGAATAGAAGGTTAATGCTGCTGTGTTTTGATTGGATAATATTGAGAACCGGAGACCCTTTTAACTGAATACGAGGCATTCCTTCTTTGTCCTTAGGGGTGACAACGCATATCTACTTAATGTTAGGTGGACTGTGTGCTATATTCTCATCCCTATTCAAAAAAGAATATTAAATAAAACTAAACGAAATTTTAATTACAAACATTTTTATTACCTTTCCTTTCAAAGAAAGAAAATAAGCTGAGGAGCAGAAATTAAAATCGTCATTTTACTGTTCAAATTTATTAAAGTGTTACAAAAATGTTTTATTTTATATACCAATGAAAATTTGAAAGACCTAGGACTATTATAATTACTGATCAATGAAATGTCCAATAATGACGAAAACCTTAAAAAAATGAAAAACCCAAATAATAAGAATTAAATAAAGTAACTCTACGAAATTCATTTGAATATATAATACGCAATCCATTAGTGTTGACGTAGTGTAGTAATTTCCCAAACAATAAACTTGGTACTATTGGAATACATTGTAAATAATAGGCTTTTACGTAGGACACTCAATAAGTTTTGATATATACAAAAAGTATTCTAGACACTATTAATATTTATGCATTCCAATTTTTGGCTGAGCGCATTATGAAAGATGACTTATAGAGTTTAGTGCAAATATTCGGAATATCAACCAAGTGTAGATGGTAACCTGTAGTACATCTGGTATTCCAATAGAAGAATAAAGATGGCGGTATGAACTTATGAAGCTCATGAGCACACTCTACAAAGTACCATCTGTAGGAGACCGACAGACAAGCATCGCGGTAAGCTAAGCTGTGAAGCTTGGCTTTCACCAGCCTTTTGTCATCGATATGCCTCTTGACTCTGCTTTGAACTGAGTTGAGAGCGGCAAGTTGATATTTTCCTGAGCTGAGCTCAAAGGGGGAAACCTAATTGGAAAGGTGAATCACTGAGAATATATTTTTTTCTATTGTAAATAATAACAATCCTGCAATCCCCCGAATTCTTTATAACTGTTTATATTTATTTATTTACACTTTATTGTTTCCACCTTAAAAAAAGGACATCAAATGGTAGCCTTTATGCTTTTAGGCATTATCTCCTAATCCACCTGGGCATAGTGGGATGATGTTATGGGTGTATTATTAATATAACATATTTTTATTTCAAATTCGCTTGTGTTTATTAGTACTGTACATAATATAACTCAGGTTCGAATTATTTGTACTTTAATACTTATTTTTATTTAATTTATAAAGCTAGGCAAGACATTTTACCAAAATTATATTACTGTATCCGTTTTCCACGTTATCTATGTTAATAATGTCGACAACTGACTTCACCTTTTTTATTTCAAGTCTTTATAAATTTCCTCTAATGTTCTTGATTTAGTTTCTGGAACCGCAAAGATCATGTGCAACACTGCGAATAAGCAAATCCCTCCAAAGAAATAGAAGGCCACGTAAATTCCAATTGAGTTCGCAAGGGGCTTGAAAAATAAGATCTGCAGAAAGTCCACAAACGATGCTGTAGCCATAGTAACAGCGAGCACTGATCCACGGAACTAAAAATTCAAATACGAGTAGGTACGTATACTGGTGTTTATTGCAAAATATTTATTACAAAAATTGACATACATATGGTGACTAAAGTGTCTTACACACAATCCATCTTGCTGTACGTCCCGTTAGGGTAATTTACGACGCAATATGAAAAACAACAGTGGCTAGACAAACGTCAATAAGGATACTTGCGGTCAACTTAAACCAAAAAAAAAACCGTATTACGCCTGTAATAATACTAGCGTTCTATACCTTACGGACTATATCACAGATCTGCTGACAAAGAACTAATATTTGGCTGCAAAATTAGTTAAGAAGATGGTTCCCACCCTAATGGGCTCCTAGGCAGAAAGGGAATCCCAACACCAAGGCTGTGGCCAATATGCATGTGGGTGCGCTATCACATAATAAAAAATAGAATTCGTCATTACAATTTGAAAAAAGATTCTCATTGACCCCATATGATACACAGCGGCATGGCGTTGCTGATACACACTGATATTCTTAATTACCACTTAACCTGTTATATTTTTGTAATGTGGGATTTAGAATATTTACAATAAAAGTGATTCTTACGCTAAATAATAACCTTGAAATTACCTTAAAAGAAAATATTTCTCCCGTGAGTACAACGGACACTGGTTGTAGTCCCGCTGAATCGCAGAAGATACACATGCAAAGCGTTACAATAGGAAGCCAATTGGGAGTATAAGCTTCATACGATCTTGCTAAAAACCATGACGCTAGGGAGCACATACCTAATCCTGAGATCAAAGCGGTGGTGGCCAACAGGAACTGAAAAAATGTGAATTACGATTCTAATTATAAAAAAAATATTTTTTTATCATCATTAAGCGAGTTTTAAAATAAATTTGCGTCATTATGCTTGCCGTGTATTAACAGCGTAGGAAAACAAAATGTTAATAGTTAACCCACCAGCCAAGGGATAATTAAACCAAATTTTTCCAGCAACGACAAATGCCTATGTCATGTCCAGTAGATTTTTGGGAATGTTGAGAATATCTTCCCAAAAATGAATTTAACGCGTTGAAAAACTTATGATTATATTAATTTCTATTTTTTATTTTATATTGATTAATTATATTTCAATAGAGACGGAGGCTGGGTACTACTACCTGCTTGGGACCCTATATATATATATATATATATATATATATATATATATATATATATAAAATCTTTCATGTAGATAGAATGAATGAGGAAAGAGTGACAAAAAAACAATGTTGCAGAAGTGAATAGAAGAGTCGGTAAGGGACGTCTTAGGCAAAAGTTTTTCAACAAAATTGGCGATATATTGAAAGTGGGACAAATTAGGTGTACATTTAACCGATGAGCATGTATGCGTAGGTATATCAATATGGAGGAGGCGATAGAGGAGTGTCAGGATCGTTCCAAATGGAAGTATGTAGTCTCTGCCTACCCCTCTGGATGACAGGCGTGAGTGTTTATATATTATGTATTATAAATCATATCGTAGTTATAAAAAATCAATCATATAGCACAGCAAATACAAATTTTAATTAATAATGAGGTATAAGAACATCCCAAGAAAACTTTTTTTTTCTGCAGGTAGGTATTAAAGTCAACAGCTGTTTTTAAGTGCTCCTATTCATAATTTCGAATTTTATTAATTTCCACAATAGATAAGTGTAAATTATACGATAATTATATTGAAAAAAGAGATCTTATGTACTCAAATAATAATTTATCTATGTAAACAAGCTTTTAATAACTTACTGCATCACCCATCAGCAACACTAGTATTTACCACTATTAAGCACTGTTACATTACGATTACAATATGGCAAGCATTAATAATGTAGACAAAATACAGAAAGAACTGGAAGTCAGAAGTGGTCTCACGCTATCAAGGGGCACAATCGGGTCCAAGCAATGAAAAAAAGGGTACGCCGCGTTGTGACCAAAAAATAATGACGCTGTTGATATTTTCACACACTTTCTTAAGGTTGTTACGATTTTTTAAAATAATTAAGTTTACTTTATTCAGTCTTATGTTATTTGGTATCATTTAAGCTTTTTATTATTTCTATTGATGGTATTGTAGTAATTATCGTTACATTATTTTTATCTTCTTAGTTTAATTGATTTAACTAAACTACTAAGGGTTTAATGTTGTTTATTATTTACTTTTTATAATAAGAATAAAGCAGCTAATAACAGTATTATAATATTGTTGGTAATAAAGTAGGTAGAAAAATATAAACAAACTGTTATTTTGTTATACCCCTATTACACTACCCTGAATCAGGCTCCCTAAGTCCTTAATCAGGGTGGTGTAATAAGACAAAGGGAGTAAGGGTCCCTAATTAGGGCGTCAAAAGGGACCCTGTCTGCAGTGCCCTTGACACAGTGCAGTCTAATAACACTTAGGGCAGTTAGGTCACTTATTCGATATGCGACTAGGGATGCAAGCAATACATCGATTCTTTCAAACATTGATATATCGTTCATTAATATGGTTCTTCATGAGCAATGTTTTACTTTTACGAACTATGTTTTGGCTTGCCGTCAAAGGTTAAGAAATAACCAACTAAATGAAGATAGTAAAATTTCGTATGTTAGAAGTTGCGAACGATGATTATCACGAATTTGATGTCGCCTAAAAATATATTAAAATTGGATAACGTCAAAATGTTTAAAGTTAGACGGTATTTAGCAGAAATAATTCAATCCCGAAAATTTTAAATACAAATCAACAAACAGGTGAATGGTTTAAGTCTAAGCTCTAAGCCGAAAATAATTATACTTGAACTTCAGGAGTGCAATTGTCTTCTATCGGTAATTTCATTTTTGATATAAAATAGTAGTTAATTTTATTGTGATAATTAATTAACATAAGTTTACAAATATTGAAAATGGATTGAAATTGTCTTATCCATTTTATTATTTATATTATGTTGTTGAGCTTTAACTTAATCAATAGCTTAAGTATAGTCTTAAGTGGTAATAGTTGTTTTGTAATGGAAATTATTTTATTGCCTTACGGTACTTCTAAGTTTGTTACAATCACTTTTATGAAATATTGGTTTTGATGGATGAACGGTTAATCACCTGTTTGTCTTTCAGTATAGTTTCGTAAATGTATTCAAAAAATTCGATAATACTGAAGGTGACATATGGAACTACCATAAAGAATTAACGCACCACAACATAAGAAATAAAACTAAAGCCGAAGAAGGGTTTCATATATCCATGTAATCACCTGTCACTTCTATAAAGGGAGATGCTCTGGAGATGTGGGATGCCATGAAAAAGTTATTTCCCGGGCTTCATAGCCTAGTTAAGATTTATTTGCTTATCGTAGCAGCTTCGGTAACCCGTGAGTGGTTATTCTCAGAGGCTTTACAATCACTCATTTACTTTATTTACTATTATTTATTTACTATTTTAGACAAAAGTGGTTGAGAAATCAAGGAGCTAAATCTTATATCTTGATAACTATTTCCTGTAGCTAGAAATCGTAGAGTGACAAATAATCTGTGCCTAGCACTTACACTCTGGCTTAAAATCGTATTTTTTTTCGATATATGGTGTCACTAAAGTTAATAGCTCCTCGAACTCCTCTTCCCCAATTCTCAAGTAATTTCGGAATTCATTTGGCTCCAGAACTCCGAGAATCCGCATACTTGAGTGATTATTCCTAAGATTTAAATATTCTTTCACCCATATATTTATTTTACTCCGCTTTTCTTTAATGAATGTTGTCGCAATGACATAGAAGCAGGTGACGACGCAGCCGCTACAGACCAAAAGTATATCTAGTTAGTTTATGCCAGACTTATTAGTTTAATGTTGATGTTTTGTTATATCCTGTTTCTGTATTTACTTTTCTAATAGTGTATTTTAATGTTCTATTAATTAAAGGTTACTTTTATAAACAATGATTGTTATCTTTATCAGTCAACTGATGGTATAGAGCAGTGATAGTGGAGTAGTTGATTTTCTGGTTTATACGAATAGCGTTGTAGATATTTTATACTTAGACTTTGTTTTATCTCTTAATATATTTAATATTTTATTATTATATTATTATCTAATAATGTAACATATATAACGTATACATATATCTAATAATGTAATGTATACGTTATATATAAATCTATTTAGAAGTTAATAATGTCTGATGATGAATCTTTTTATTCCATTTATAGTTCAGACTCCTCATACGCCTCTCCTTACAGATAATTTACTTCCCTTACGCGATCAGTTAAGTAATATTTTTCTGTCTCATAAAAATTATTTTAATGTTTGCCATATTAATTGCACAGAGCATTCCAAGTCATGTGTCCTACTTAGAAGAAGCATTCTCACTAGACTGTGTCGATGCTCTCTTAATATTTGAGAGTTGGCTATACCATCTATTATGTCGAGTTTGTACCCATTACCGAATTTCATTCTTATACGCAATGATCGGGTCAAAGGATCGCTGAGAAGGGGGGAGGTGGTGTTGCTATATACCTACGAAAAAATATTCCTTATAAAGTTGTTCTATCTTCCCCCTCCCCATATTCTGCCACTGCTGAGTTTTTATTTCTAGAAATAAATATTATGGGTGCTAGGGCAGTTTTAGGTGTTGTATATTGTCCTCATTCTGTGGATTATTTTATCTCACTTGAGACGGCTCTTGACACCATTGTATCTGTACATACATTGCATGATAATGGGTGATTTCAACACCGATTTGTTAAAGAATACTTCTCGCTCCCAAAAACTTCGATAAATGATTGAATCAGTCGAACTCTGCATTCTCCCATTGGCGGCAACTCATAGAAATACTGACACTGATGATTCGTTGATTGACCTCATCATTACTTCCTCTTCTGATCGCGTGATTCAGTTTGGACAGCTCTCTGCTCCTTGTTTCTCACTTGATTACTTGATGACTTGATTTATTTTTCATATAAACTTAAACCTCCAAAACAGAAACCTATTTTTCTGAAGTTACGCAACTTTTCAAGATTAATATTGAGAGTCTCAGTAGAGACGCATCTTAAATTGATTTTGGCCCTTTGGTGGCAGCTTCTAACGTCGATGATAAAATATCCTTTCTAAATAATAGCATCCTGAATCTGTATAATATTCAAGCTCCGGTACATTAAGTAAAAGTTAAGCGTCCTTCAGCTCCCTGGATGACTAAAGGGGTACAAGTGGCAATGGCACGGCGAGATTGGGCTTTCCAGAAGTTTAAAAAGAATCGCTCAGAAAAAATTGGTCTAACTTTAAACCGCTAAGAAACAGATGCAATCAGGTGGTACGAAATGCTAAACGCCGCTACTTTCATGACAAAATAACTAATTCTTCGCCCACTGATTTGTGGAAATTCCTCAAGTCTATCGGAATTAATAAATCTAATTCTCCGGAATATGGCGCCTCTCTCAATTTAGATGACATAAATCGTCACTTTGTTTCTATTAGTTCATTGGACCCTCAAGTCCGTTATCAAACTATTGCTTCTATAGAATTAATGCAGCCTCTCCGGATCCCTGACTTTTGTTTCTCCCCTGTTACTCAGGATTAAATTAAAAAAGCTCTGTTAGCCATTAAATCCAAGGCTGTGGGTTATTAATTAGTAAGCAAATGGTGTATTGTTCTTGAGTACCTTCTTCCAGCTATAACACACATTATAAATTATTCTCTGGACTCAGGTCAATACTCTTCTGCATGGAAAAAGGTTTTTGTAAGACCTCTTCCTAAAATACCTAATCCTGTTTTCTATAACCATTTTCGTCCTATTTCAATTCCCCCATACC